GGGGGGGGGTGGGGAGACAGTCATGGGTCAGAGCGGAAGGTTTTCTCCACCTGGGGACGCAGGGGCTGCGTTCATACTCACCTTCAAAGCCCTCAGCTCGTCCAATGAGATGACAAGGGGCTCGTAGTAGGGGGGGTCATGAATCCTGACCTGTGGGAGGAGAAGAAAGTCTATTAGCACCCCGTTCCCCACTAGAACATCCCAAAGGAGTGGCCAGTACACCTCACATCAGTACCAAAAGTCAGATTTCGCCTTGGAACGATGGAGCAGTTTGGAGGGCGTGCTTGGGTGGGCCTAGTAGTATTATCGCTGCACTGTTCATCCAGAGACCCAGGTAATGGGGAACCGGGGTTCGAATCCCACCCACGGCAGACGGAAGAAGTTGAATTCAATAAATACCTGGAGTTAAGAGTCTAGGGGAAGGAAACTGCCATCCTTACCCGAAAGCTTTAGAGAGGGCGCAGAGGAGATTTACCAGGACGCTGCCTGGACTGGAGGGCAGGTCTTATGAGGAAAGGTTGAGGGACCTAGGGTTTTTCTCATTGGAGCGAAGAAGGATGAGAGGTGACTTGATAGAGGTGTACAAGACGATGAGAGGCATAGATAGTGTGGAGAGCCGGAGACGTTTTCCCAGAGGCATGATTTTAAGGTGATCGGAGGAAGGTATAGGGGAGAAGTCAGGGGTAGGTCAGAGCGGTGGGGCGTGCCAGCAGTGGTAGTGGAGTCAGATACTTTTAAGCGACTCTTGGATAGGCACGTGGAGGATAGTAAAATGTAGGGTTTGCAGGGGTAGATTGATCTGAGTAGGATAATAGGTCGGCACGACATCGTGGGCCGAAGGGCCTGCACTATGCTGTACTGCTCTGTGTTCTATGTCTGATGAAGACTTAAAGCTTACTCTGAGGTGAGGTGGCCAAGGGGAGATGTCAGTTAGACATGAGAGGTGATAGATATGAGGAGATGTTGGTTGAACCATGGGAAATGATGGTCAACGTGGCACCTCAGCGAGTTGCCAGTTAGACTCTGGAAAATATCGAGCGACCGGAGACATGAACACAGGGGCGGCCTAAAGATTACGGAGCGGGATGCTTTTTCTCCCCATTGGAGTCGGGATATTGCGAGAACGGAGGAACAACTGGTACGACACAGCATTCAACCCCCCGTGTTGCGGAGATGCACAGCATGCAAACAGGCCTTTCGGCCCGACCAGTCCATTCCGGCCCACAACCCCAAACTAAACTCGTCCCGCGCCTGCCTGCTCCCGGCCCATATCCCCTCCAAACCCTTCCCCGTCCATGTACTTATCCAAATGTCTTTTAAGCGTTGTAACTGTACCCACATCCACCACTTCCTCAGGAAGTTCATTCCACACACGGACCACCATCCGCATAAAAAAAAGTCTCCCTCGTGTCTTTTTTAAATTTTTCTCCGCTCACCTTAAAAATATG